TGTCACATGTATCAGTACTTCATTTCTTTTTATTGCAAATAATATTCCGTTGTGTGGCTATACCACACTTGATTTGTCTGGGGGCATTGTGGATGGATGTTTGGATTGTTTCCACTCTTTGGCCATCAGGAATAAAGCTTTCCGTGGACATCATGTACAAGTGTTTGTGTGAACAGATGTCTTCATCTCTTTGGGGTATATACCTAGGGGCGGAATTGCTGGGTCATACTTTGTGTTATTAAGTGTTTTCACGTTGTGATTCAGAAAGTACAAGTTCTGCTGTTCCCATGTAAAAGATGAGGAAACGGAAGTCCAAGACCTTGTCTTGCTTGTGGAGGGGGACGTTTTGTTGAATTCTGTCTTGTGACTTTCAGGTCAGTGGGCTGGTAAATGGTCTAATTAAAGAAGAGTAGGTTAATTGGTTTTTCCAAGCTCACCCAAAAGATTTAATTTCATAAAGAAAATTGTGATCTTGAATTTATAATTTTACTTCTCCAAGTCCTAGATAGTGACTGGGAGACTAAGATAGTGTCTCTAGCTTTTAGACTGTACTCAGATTTTTTTTTTTTTAAAGATTTTATGTATTTGGCAGAGAGAGAGCACAAGCAGGGGGAGCAGCAGAGGGAGAGGGAGAAGCAGGCTCCCCACTGAGCAGGGAGCCCGATGCGTGGCTCGATCCCAGGACCCTGGGATTATGTCCTGAGCTGAAGGCAGACGCTTAACCAACTGAGCCACCCAAGTGCCCCGTACTCAGATTTTTAAAAATACAGTCCTTTATAACTTTTAAAGGAATTGATGAATGAATGAAAACATTGATTAGAAATTGAAAGCAGTCTAAAGGGGAGACATTTTTAAAGCTAATGATGCAAAACCCAAGTCCAAGAGAGGTTCTCTATCCCCAACTTTTCCTTCACTATTATGTTAAGTAACCTGCATTGTTCCCTCTGCTTCCACCAGGCATTATGAATTTATGTCCTGAGGAGTTGCTTGTCTGTACTTAAACAACAGCTTGATGCATTTATTTATGATTTATTTGTTAGGTTTCTGTAGTACCTTTCCACTTAAGAGCCCGTGACACAGGTCATGTCATCTCTAGGATGTTATTTTTATCATAAACATTTCTAAGTATCCTTATGTTGACTAGACAATCAACAGGCATGGTTCCCAGGATAGCTAAAGAGAAGAGGCAATAAAGAAATTACTAGAGTGACATAAATATGAACTATAAACATAAAAATGAACTACTCATGGAGATGTGAGTTAAGATACAAGGGGGCTACAGAGGAGGAAAAGCTAATTTTGCCTTCTGAGGTGAGGGATGGGAGGAACTGGAAAAGATCCCAAAGGAAGACATACAGAGGTGAATTTTGAAGGATAATTAAAACAATGTGAGATAGACAAGAGTGAAAAGGACATACTTTTTTTTAAAGATTTATTTATTAGAGAGAGAATGAGAGAGAGAGAGAGCACATGAGAGGGGGGATGGTCAGAGGGAGAAGCAGACTCCCCGCCGAGCAGGGAGCCCGATGCGGGACTCGATCCCGGGACTCCAGGATCATGACCTGAGCCGAAGGCAGTCGCTTAACCAACTGAGCCACCCAGGCACCCAGGACATATTTTTTAACAGCTATTTTGTATATTTATTTGATATACAATTAAGCTGTGCATACTTAAATTTCAGATTTAGTAATTTTAAAAAATATTTTATTTATTTATTTATTTATTTATTTATTTATTTATTTATTTAATTTATTTATTTATTTAGAGAGCAACACAAGCAGAGGGAAAGGGAGAGAATCACAAGCAGACTCTGCACTGAGATCAGGGCTCAATCCCACGACCCTGAGATCATGACCTGAGCCGAAATCAAGAGTCAGATGTTCAACCAACTGGGTATCCCCAGATTTGGTAAGTTTTGACATGTATATACACCCATGAAATCATGCCACCATCAAGATAGTGAACATAATCATCACTCCTAAAAGTTTCCTTGTGGCCCATGTAATCCTTCCCTCCTACCTTGCCCCACCCAGCCCACACTCAAAGTAGCCGTTTATAGGCTTATTCTCACTCTACATTAACTTGCATTTTGCTAGAATTGTGTATACATAGAATCATAAAACGTGTACCCTTTTCATTCAGCATTAATCATTTTGAGACTAACCCATGTTGTTATGTGTATCAGTAGTTCATTCCTTTTTATTGTTGAACAGCTTTCTAGTGTATGGATTTACCACATGGTGTTCATCACCTTTTGATGAATATTTGAGTTTGCTTCTAGTTTTATCAAATTGCTGCTGAGAACACACTATGTACAAGTCTTTGTTTCTTTTCTCTTGGGTAAATACCTAGTTGTGGAATGACTGCATCATAGGGCACATGTTCGTTTAACATTTTAGAACCTGCCAGTTTTCCAGAGTGGGTATACCATTCTATATACTCACCTGCAATGTATGAGAGGTCCAGTTCCTCCACATGACTTGGCCTGGCCAGCCTTTTTAAAATTAAAATTAAAATTAAAATGTTGTTTTGTGGTGGGAGGGAGCATTTCTGATGATTCTCTTGGGAGGGAATCGGCGAAGCAATATGAACATTTTAAATCTCTTGCTACACATGGGAAATTGTTTTGCATAAAATTCTTCATTCATTTACCCTCCTAACAAAGACTTCATCTTATTGGCCTTCACTTTTTTTGAGAGAGAGAGAGTGAGCAGGGGGAGGGGCAGAGGGAGAGAGAGAGAACTCCAGGCAGCCTCTGTCCATGCTGAGCACAGAGGCCGATTAGGGGCTTGATCTCACAACTCTGAGATCATGACCTGAACTGAAATCAAGAGCCAGATACCTAAACCGACTGAGCCACCCAGGCACCCTGGCCTTCACATTTTAAAATCCTTCCTCATCTCCCTGAGAATTCCTGTACTGAAAGTCCCCATATACCATCCTTCCTGGGACATGTGTCTAAAGGGTCTTTGAGGGGTTCCTAATATTATCATCGGCGTTCCTTATAGCCTGATTAAAACTGTAGCTTTTATTCTTCTGTCTCTCAAGCACCGCCTCATTATTAGTAACACTTACAAATATGTTTGTCTTGTTATAATCAGTCCATCTAAAATCTTTTGGGGAACAATTTAGCCCAGGGTTTATATTAGAAGAAAATCTGTAATGTCTTCCAGTTTTGAGGCTCTCCCGATGCTATTTGCCTTAAAAAAACAAATGACTGCTGCTTCTGTCTGTTCATCAATGAACGTGTCTGCCTTTCGCAGACGTTAGGGAACTTTATCGTTAATACAACCCCAGTACCTTGTCTTGACCTTTAGCTTGAGAATTCAGGGATTTCTCTTGCCAGCCAAGTTTTAACCCACTATGCATCTTCATAAGGACAGTCTGGCAGTGTTATGAGGTTTATATCCTTAGACAAATGGCTCATCCCAGCCTAAAAAGGGAGTAGACGCGACAGTTCTTTTTAACCACTAGCAGTCCCAGCTGAAGGCTGTGTGCAAGGGATGAGGCAGGCCTTCCTGGCTCACAGGGGGACCCTAACCAGAGGGACACTGATTAGAATTAGAATTAGAATTAGAATCAGAATCTGCCCCTTTGCTGTGGCTCGAGCCCTCTGGTCGCTGGTCCTGGGGTGACATCTGAGTCGTAGGTGTTCTGAGGGCCTTGTCCTGGGCAAATGGGCTGGATACAGCCATTCTTTAAACTTATGGCTAAAGTTATTTAATATCAGAATAATTAAGATCCTCTATAGCCACTATTGCAATTAAGGGCCCTAAAGAAGAGTCTCGATCCTGTTCTCTCTCACCACCATTCCTCTCCAGATGGCTGAATGGCATACTGTAGGAGAGACTGCCTCAAATGCTGATGTTAGTTTCTCCTGACAAGTCCCCCTACACGGGACAGTGGCTTTTTCTTCTCTCCTCTTCTCACATGATCTTTCTCTCTCACCCTCTTTGGCTTGCTCCTGATTTCCACTTTCCATTCGTGGGGAAACATTTCTACCTGTTAAAATACTGCCCTGGACGTTCCCCAACCCATAGGAATTTGCCAGCTGACCCATCCGCCCTGTCTAGGGGGCCAGGCCTCGGGGGATGCAGCGCATTTTTTTCGGAATCTGCCCACCTTCCCAGGCAGCGCTGCAGACCTGAAATCCTAACCCAGCCGTGAAAACGGCCCCGGAGCTTCTCCACCACACCTCTTCCTTTCTGGTCATCTATCAGGTCAACGCAGCTCCCACTTTGGCATAACCAAACTCTAGTGGTTTTTTACTATAACGCCAGCACCATCTAAGTGCTTATGTTCCTTCTGTCTCCTTTTGCGTGATGGCAGATGTCACCAGCTCCATTTAAATAAAGAAGGAAACAGGAGGACGTCAAAGTCACTGCATCATCTGGTTACGCAAGGACTCAGGAGCCGAGTGAGGCCTACATTTTCAGCTTTCTTTCAACATTTCATCGGAGTCAGTAGACCTATTATGTCCTTCGAACCAATCTAACCTTTTCCATTTCCCCTCAGAGGGCTCTGTTTTCATACCTATACTGAGATTCTGCACATGGACTCATGGAGATGGGGAAGAATCCCCCCAGATCCACCCCTCTCCCTGGGCCCCACTTTGCCTTCCTGGTGCTCCCCCCAGCCTGGCTGAAGGGGAGGGTCCCTCAGCAGCCTCTTTTACCACACAGGTGCCTGTGACCAAGAACATGTCCCACTGTTCCACAAGTGACCCCAACTGTGGAACAGAACCCCCAAGGCACTGCTCCAGTGAGCTCCCCATCCTCTGCACAGGTCTCCCTCGGGGGGAAAGTGTCTGAGAAGGTGGGACTGGCCAAATTCACAGCAAGATTGCCGACTCTCAGGGAGAGGGTTAGAGGGGAGGCAGGAAGCGGCAGTGGTCATGAACTCTGTCCCGAGTGGAGTGCCCTTGCAGAGGGGGCTGAGATCAGGGCTGACTGCTGAGGTCAGCCTGATGGAATGCTTCTAGGTGACACACCCTCCCTTGTCAAGGGTATGAGTCAGAGGGTATGAGAGCCGCCCTGCCTAGCTGGGAGCAAAACGGCACCCAGAAGCAAGGAAAGGAGGAAAGCCGGGCTGCACCTCCCCCAGGACAGCCGCAGGTCAGTCACTTCCCCTGCTCCGGGGTGCAGGGCGCGACTCTACGGACGGTTCACTCACTGAGTCTGCGCCGTCTCTCTTTCCAGCCAGTCACAACTTGCGTTTGCACCTTGGATGAGTTTGGTCTTTGGGGCTTCTTGGGAGCGGGTAGGGGGAAGCCACTTGTCTCCAGCAGCAACTTCTGTGAGGAAGGGAGAGTCTGCTCAGTGGAGGTCAAGGTCAGGGGGTGCCTTGCTCCTGGCACATGGTAAGCAATTGGCAAATATGGTCTCACTGAGCTGAGGAATGGGAGGTCAGCACTTGCTCCCCTTTCCACAGGTCTCTCCCTCTTATCCCTGCAGTCACATTTTCTCAACGGGATGGACTGCAACTCAAAACAATTCACGGACTCAGAAATGGCACTGATGAGCTCAGCACTTTCACAGATGAGCTCCGGCAGCTGGGGGCCGACTACAGTGGCCTAATTGTGGGACACGGCCTATGACTTAAGAAAAAAGGAGTGTTGAAAAGGAAACCACAGGCCCAAAATGGCATCACTGAGGCCAAATCACCAAACCAGGACTTAACATCTAACCGATCTGCAATTTCAACCTCCCCCAGAAATGTAGTCTTAACTGGTGAGTTAGGACATTTCTGATCAGCACCAGTGAGGTGATCTGTCACAGGGGCCCTCTCCACCCCCCAACGGAAGATGAGGTCCTCCTCCTAATAGGACCCTCTGCCCTTCCCTCTAAGGAAAGGAGACCTCACCTGGAATAGTCCTTTATTTTCTTTAGCTAGTAACTTCCTTGCTCCACCTCCTTCCTAGAAAAACCTTCCATTTTATACAACTCCTCAGAGCTCCCCTCTACTTGCTAGATGGGATATTGCCTATTGATAAATCGTTTTTACATAGAGCAAATTAGACCTTCAGTTACTCGGTTGAATTTTTGTTCTTCCACGGTGGTTTCCCCAGAGGTGCCACAGGCCTTACTGAGATGGGACCAACACCCGGGCTTGGTGAGGCTGAGGGGCCCAGAGCCCGGAGCCGGGGCAGGTAGGCTGCTTGGAGCACGGAGCGTGGGGCCCCAGGTTCTGAGGGGCTCTACAAGCCACTGCTGTGAGCAGGGCGGGCCTGAAGGACTTGCCCGAGATGGGAAAAGAAGCCCTGGGGCAGGTGGGGAGGCCAGTTGGCTTTGCTGGCCCTGGACGTTCACAGAGTCCCTCCCCCTCCTGGGAGGGGCCAGTTGCATAGTCAGGAAGGGGTGGAGAGCCTTGAACCGGACCTCAGCCACCGGGAACCATGGGGGTTAGGTGGAGGGGCCCCAGCTGCCCCAGCCAGGTAGATGTAGGTTCTCAGAGTGAGGCCCCACCAAGGGCCTCACTCCCAGGAGGGAGGGCATTGACTTCTTCCTTAAAATGTTCTCCGCCCACTCTTCTCATTTGCTTCCTCCCACATGGAGATATCCTACTGTCCTAGATTGACAGGGAGTTTTGCTTCTGACACTCAGTCCTGCATCCTTTCCACAAGGACAATCTCACCTATTACCCCTCGTCTCTGTTATCATCCTCCCTCTTCCATCATTCAGTCTCTCACATCACCACCAGACTGAGCGGGCACTGCGCACCAAACCCTTTTGCAGGCCTGGGGACACAAAGTCCCAGCCTGCCAGGGGCTCCCACTGGCATTAGGGGAAAAGCCCCGGTGCCATCACAAGGACCCCCGGTCAATTCTGTGACCGTGGCAAGAGGGAAGGATAGCAGAACAAACAGTGTGCCACCAGGGAGACGGGGCGGGGAGGCCTCTCTGCCAAGAGTCAGGACCTGAAAGGTCGAGCCCGGGTTCCCCAAAGACAGGTGGCCCTCATTCCGGGAAGAAAGGAGGAATGCACCGGGCCTGGGCTTCGAGGAGCACGCTGACATGGAGAAGGAGCGCAGCTGAGGGGCCCTGGGTTTGCTGAGGGCACAGGGCTCAAGGTGAGCAGGGACGGGGCTGGTGCCTGGACCTGCTGACCCTCCATCGGTCATGAAAGGCTCATCCTGACCCTGAACTTGGGGAAGCCTGGCACACTTTCCTCTCAGCCCCCTCCTGCCTCCTCCTCTGGGATAAGTAATTAATGGTCCCTCGCTCCTAGATCCAGCCTCACGGGCACCAATCCTGCCGGTCCTTGCTTGACTCTTGAGCACTTCCTGCCTTGCCATTTTGCCTGGGGCAGGAAGGGAAACCGGGGTCGAGATCTGCACGTCGGGAATGAGAAAGCAACCCTATCAGGAATCCTAGCAAACAAGTGAAACAAAAGCAGGAAGGACGTTTTAAAGGAAAATCCTCACACAGGAAGTAGGGAGACAAAAATTTAAAAAGAGAAAGGGAAAAGCAAACAAACTTAGGTCACCTGTGAAAACCACTAAGTTAGCCAATGAAATACAGGATGTGACAAAATGGATCAGAAAAAGCTAGGGAAATAATCATAGCTAACACTTAAATAGCAGTCACAGTCTAGGCCCTTTTCTAAGCGCAGAACGTATTAACTCATTTAAGCCTCACGGAAACCCTATGCATTGAGTACTTTTATTATCCCCACTTTACAGATGGGGAGACTGAGGCACAGAGAAGCAAGGGAAGTAAAGAAGTGAAGAATGGCTGTATGCAGTGGATAGGAATTAGTGGCCTGCGTGTGTTATGACAGAAGTTCACAAAGAATAAGTTTCCTTGAGGGGGTTGGGAGAATTCTTGCCTCATTGCTCTTCCCGCTCTCACCAGAAGGGGTTGCATTATATGGAGAGTGATGCCAGCTCAAGTCCAAGTTTGGGACTCAGACATGGCCTGGGTAAATAGAAGTGTTTTTTACATGAAAGTCAAAATGAGTCCTGGGAAAGAAAAACTTACACATACATAAAACTGGTCCTAAGAGAGAAGAGGGCGGGCAGACCTCCTTCTTCTAAGACTAGAGATTGAGTGAATGGCTGTGTTTAGCTTCTAGATCTATCTCCTGCTGCAGCCCTGTGAACTCATTCAGGCCTGAATCTCATTCCGAACAGATTATCAGTGGAGTAATGGTAAGTAAATATAGAGCTGTTTCACAAAACACTTGGGTGTGTATCTTCTGGACCAGTTCATAGGTGTATAGCACTAAAAGGAAGTTAAGGATTCTTTCCCACTTTTCCAAGGAACATTCTACAACTCAGAAACCCCCCAACCAACCCCTCAGCCCTGAGGTTTCGATCTCTCAGTGCCTTGTGTGTGGGGTTCAGGGTGTCTGGGGGAAAGGGAACAGGCGAGCAATGGCTCCCACAGGAGGGCAGAGACCAGCAGCCAGCAGCCTGGTGGTGCCCAGCAGGAGTGGGGCTTAGCCCCAGGGCACACAGCATGGTGTCCACAAGAGGCAGCAAGCCCCCACCAGAACCCTGGTACCGAAAAAAGGCGCTGTGGTATCTGGAAGCAGCGATCAGGCCTGGTAGTTACTGAAGCATGCAGCAAAGCTATATCCATGCAGAAGAAGTATAAACAAGAGAAATAATCTTATTCACAAACCCCAAAGAATCCTTGGGAAAAATCTGTGGCAAGAGCAATAAATACAAGTGATTACTGTACATGCGACCTTAAAAAAAAAAAAATTCAAGTAGCCTTATGGAGAAGTATTTGAGTTGCTTTCATTTCAACTTAGACTTTAGGCAGAGTCTGTGTTTTAAAAGAAAAACGTGCTCACAAATAATTTTTCTGAGACGAGAAAAGATATTTTAAGTCATAACAATATCAACCCAAAGGAGAGTTAGTGTTTAAAAAATTAGTTTCTTAGAAATTCGTGTTCATTTTTGTTTCCTTAAAGCTTTGCTAATTACTGACGAATCTTTTCTATTTTCTATTGTTTGGATAATGTTAGTGTTTCCGTGGACAAAATCCAAGACTCGAGAGTACAAAAAGAAAGCTCATAGCATTTAGGTCAAGATTTGCGGCTCACCTCTCCCCTCCCTACCTCCCCCTCTCCCCCCGCACACCCCTGGTTTTGATTCATTGTGGTCTTGGAGGCATGACCTTATCTATTAATCTCAGTGACATTCTGGGTTGAAAGGGCAATACTCTGAATGGCAAATAGTAAGATGAAAGTATTGAATCTCTTTAGTCCATCTGGATCCCAGAGCACTTAATTTTCAAGGGTAGATAGTATATGCAACTAACCCTCAGGGTGATCACTCCAGTTATAGCTAATGCAACAAATACTATTCAACTTTAACAAAGTAAGAATTTTATATGCTCTGGCTTATTCTTAATTCTTCCCTAAGGGCCTATTTGGTTTAGCATCAAATATAAGATTAAGAGACTCTAAATTTTAGCTGAACAGCCACTCAAGGGATTTAGATGATCCCTTTACACAACAGAGACTTAGTGTGTGGCTGACATCTCCCATTCTGGGAGCATAGGCTTCTACATACGTTACACCTCAATTTCCTAATGTTGGTTGTTTATTTGAAAGCAAAATGAAGAATACTATTACTCCACCCTCAAAAAATCAACTCTATTAGTTGTGGAAAATTTGGGGCAAAACAAATCTGTCATTTTCTTCTTAAAGATTTTATTTATTTACTTATCAGAGAGAGAGAGAGAGAGAGAGAGAATGAGCAGAAGGCAGAGGGAGAAGCAGACTCCCCGTCGAGCAGGGAGCCCGATGCGGGGCTGGATCCCAGGACGCCAGGATCATGACCTGAGCCGAAGGCAGACGTTTAACCAACTGAGCCACCCCGGCATCCCAAATCTCTGTCAATTTATACTGAATAAAGCAAAAGAAGAGAATGAAGTTTATACTGACTATATAATAACATAAAAATATGTGTGTGTATCTACATCTGTGTGTATTTGCAAAAATCTTAAATCTGCATGGCAGAAATGAAATGGGGAATTAATAGCGCGACAGGAATTCAGACTTTGGTCTTCCAAGGCTGAATCTGGCATTCCTTGCATTACTCTGAGCTGTAACCCAAACGGGGATAGAAATTTGCAGGCCAGAGGAGAAAAAAATATGCAGGGTAGTGGCTCTCAGTCCCACCAGCTGGCTAATAAATAAATATTTTTGCATAAGTAGTGAACCATAATATGGGCTTTTCTTGTGTATTTAGACTTAGGATTGTTGAAATAATTTTAAAGAGATAGCAAGGATAGAGAAACAGGGAAGGCGAAAGATAAAAGATAAAAGGAATGAAAAGAAATCTCCCCCCCTCTTTTCTCTCTCTCTCTCTTTAGAACAGCTTTTCTCCAAAGACATTACAGAACCATATAAAGAGCTACAAAATTCCAAAAAGCCTCACTGTGAAGTTACAAACCGGAGGAGAGCTTTGGAAATGGGGTTGGGAATGGAGGAATGGAACAGGGAAGGTTCAGGAAGGCAGAGGAGCACCAGTTGGCCAGACCTGGCTCAGCTGTAAATGTTTTCAGGCCACTGTGCCCCAGCAGAGCAGAGTCACTCTGCTAGATTATTTGCAGGTGAGAAGAAATATATTTTAATATCTGACTCTATTGTCTTTGCGGCGTAAGTGCAAATATTTGTATGCATAAACACATTTGAATGACGGCAGTTGATGGTGACATTTTCTAGAATTAATTATTTCTATGTTCATAACGCTTGAGAGCCTATCAAACTGCTGAGTAGAAGGAGAGCACCGGGGTTGTATGCAGCTCCTTCATTCACAGAGGAGCCAACGGGTTTGGGTATCACATATGGTCTGCATACGCCCCGCTTATGTAAGGTTATATTTTTAAATGTGACGGTGTGACTAAGCCTTCAAAAGCTATTTAGACTGCCTTGGATGTCTTCGATTCTCCAAAGTCATGCATTTGCTGCAAATGGAAGTCAAGTAGTAACCTTTGCTGCACCTTCATTTCCTCACACAGGTGCCAGTTCTTCCGCTCAGCGGACCTCTTGCCCTGGCAAGAAATGCTAATGATATGGTGACGGCAACCAAATAAAAGATTAGGTGCTGCTAGGGAAAGACTATTACTCATAACTTGGTCTACATCCTGTCAATTATCCTGCCCTGATGAATAGTATGTGACGGGAAACTGGGAAGTGATAAAAGACCTCCCAACCCCATCTCCTTGAAGGGAAGGTGGAGCGTTGAGTGATTGCCTACTAGGCACCATGCCCCACACACACCACAGAGCAGGGGCTGGGCTCATCCATCACCGAGACCACTGCAGACGGCATCTGTGCTGTTAGAAAGTATAGGTATAAAAGGGTTTGACGTTCAGGTCTAAGTAGGTAAGTCAAGAGTATAAAGGGTCCAGGGCGCCTGGGTGGCTCAGTTGGTTGAGCGACTGCCTTCGGCTCAGGTCATGATCCTGGAGTCCCTGGATCGAGTCCCGCATCGGGCTCCCTGCTTGGCGAGGAGCCTGCTTCTCCCTCTAACCCTCCCCCCTCTCATGTACTCTCTCTCTCTCTCTCATTCTCGCTCTCTCAAATAAATAAATAAATCTTAAAAAAAAAAAAGAGTATAAAGGGTCCAAAATGAATGTCTCATCCCAAACCAAAATATTAATTAAAAATGCAGAGAGAAGCTTAATCATGCAAGCAAAAGGGCGGCTTTGCCTAGAAAATGCATCTTTTGTCCATTCTCTTTTTCCAGTTTATAAATCACATGATCTAATCAATGCACCATGATTGAAACAAAATTTGTCACATCTTTGAGTATGTCTGTGGATAGTCAGTAGCTTAATTTTAGAATAGCAGACCCAGAAATGCAGGTATCCTGGTGGCCTTGACATTGAAGTTCTCACCCCATGAAGGGACTCTTTCCATAATACTCTGGAGAATGACCCAGATCCAGGTAGTCCTTGAAAATTGCCGGTATTATGGACAAATCATGACCTAACCAGACATGCCATTCTATTTTCAAACAGTTTTAATTATTAGAAAAGTTCTGATGTGATAGAATGGGGTGAGGTATTGACACTTTCCCCGGTTCTCATGTCCCTCACCAAGTATCCATGTGCTCAAAGTGATATGATTGAGAGCTTGTTTTGACCAAGGGGAGGGGAGAGAAGAGAACAAAGACTACACAGAGTTTCCTACCTAGCCCTTCGGCCTGGTTGGAGCTCCAGTGGAAATAATAAGGATTGAGAGCCAGAAAATGAAGGACCCCCTGCATGAGCTCACTGCTGTGAAAGCCAGTGTACCAACTGCAGCCAGCAGAGAGCCTTTCTCTGCACTTTTCCGTGGAGCCCAGCTCTGCAGCAGCCCCCCAGGATGGACAGCCGGGGGAGAAGTGCGAGAAGGACGGAGGCACCTTGGTATAGACAGAGAGCCTTATGTGTGACTCAATCAGCTATAGCAAGAACGTGGCTCCTTCACGTACCCGGGTAGGCAGCTCACCCGGACCAGGGAGAGGCAGAGTACAAAATGAAGAATGTGGCAAATGTCTCCGGGGGTCTGAAGTATTGTGGTTTCGAGGGAGCAGGAGGGAGGTCTTCGTGCAGGGAGCTAGGATAGTGTGGGCAGGATCAGTTGCCTGTGTCACTGATGCTGAAGCATCTCCAGGCTGCTGAGCTGCAGCTACATCTGGGCCACATTTATGCCGAATCACAATCCCTTCCATTGCAACAGGGGCTGATTAAATGACTCCTCATTGCCCCAGACTGTGAGGATCAAGTGTGTGACCAACTCTCCGAGCAGTTTTTTTTTAAGTCACAAATTGCTCTTGTCAGTAGAAATAATTGATGACTCCTCCTTTTTCATAATAGAAAACATATTTGAATCTTTGGTGCTATGATCGGTGAGAAGCACCGCAAGAGGGTTAAAGCTGTCCCTTAGAGGAAGAGTGGCCATATCACGTGTCAGCCAAACCAGGACACTTTCGAGATTGAAAGATGGTGTTATTAGTTGTGCTGGGACAAGAGACAGTATCAGGGACTTTTAGGATCAGTTGGGCCACGTGGATACCCTACCTAAAGGTGATTGGTAAGACATACATGGGCACTAAAATCTAGTGGCCATACTTGTATTTCTCAAACAGCTCAGAACGTGGCTTGAGTAGCGCTGAGCCACCTTGAAGCCTACTTCTGCTGACACCAACCCTCCCTGGCAATAACAAGGGCGGGGGAGCAGTGCAGACTCTTCCAGAAACCTCAAAGAGTAATACAGGTATTTCTTTTTTTTTTTTTAAAGATTTTATTTATTTATTTGAGAGAGAGAGCACATGAGAGGGGGGAGGGTCAGAGGGAGAAGCAGACTCCCTGCCGAGCAGGGAGCCCGATGTGGGACTCGATCCCGGGACTCCAGGATCATGACCTGAGCTGAAGGCAGTCGCTTAACCGACTGAGCCACCCAGGCGCCCAATACAGGTATTTCTTTTTTTTTTTTTTTAAAGATTTTATTTATTTATTTGAGAGAGAGAGAATGAGAGACAGAGAGCACGAGAGGGAGGAGGGTCAGAGGGAGAAGCAGACTCCCCACTGAGCAGGGAGCCCGACGCGGGACTCGATCCCGGGACTCCAGGATCATGACCTGAGCCGAAGGCAGTCGCTTAACTGACTGAGCCACCCAGGCGCCCAATACAGGTATTTCTTACAGGTTTTCTTGAAGGGGGGTTCAGTGGTTTCATGGAGTGCGTTACGCACACCGCCAAGCATCCAAAAATTCTTCTTCCCCTTTCTGGCTCCCCAGAGTCTCCACTGCAGCAGACCCCCACCATGTCCTTCCTCCCGCCACACAATTGTCTCACAGCTATTCTCCACTGTGTCTTTCTCCTCTCTCCCCTCAAATCTGTCCTCCCCCGTTCTGCCCACTCCTCCCCACCATTGAACCTGTGCAGTGGGGGAAAGCAGAAGACTGTGAACACGCATGCATTAACTTGTTGTGTGTGTTCGTCACACGTTTTAGAGCCTCGTTATGATAAAAATAAACATTTGTGTTAGGGAAAGAGGTGACCCCAGTGTGGGACATGCTGGGGGGCTGGAATTCAGATGGAAGGAAGAGAAACAGAGGAACTGACGCTTGCTGAGCACCAGCCTGGGATGGGGGCTTGATTCACAGAGTGTGAAAATGGGCACTTCCTGCCTTGGTTTGTCTGACACAAGAAGACAGTAGAGGCCATGTGCCAGGTGAGTCATGAGATATAGAATCCCATGGAAATTGTAAACCGTGTCAGACAATTCACCTATGCCAGGGGCCGAAAGAGTTGTATGGTTGGAGACTGAAGGGATTTGTGAAGATTATTTATTTGGAGATTGCTTCCAGTGTGTTGTAAGCTTTGCCCATGCCTCTTACCTCAAGCAGTACAGGAGCTGGGAAGGACCACTTAGAAACCTTGTGTCCCAACATTAGATAGAATGGATTTGGATTTGACTCATGACCAAGGAACGTAAGGTCCAGAAGTGCCGAGCTATCTGTCCTGATGGCAGAGTGAAGGAGATTTCCAGGTTGGTCAATTCAGCTTTTTGAGTAGGCAAATAATTCGGGAGCATTTCCCATTGACCTGATCTGCTGGGCCCATGCTGAAGAGAAGGAATCAAGTCTTGCCTTTGTATCTGTTCAGGGGGCCTCTAGAAAAGCACCAGCCTTCAGGAGAGGAGATGTTGGAGGTGCTCTCCTCTTTCCACAGGCTTGAGAGGAGAGTGAGCAACCCCAAAATAAATTCCATTTGCCCAGGGCGAGGGAACCCTACATGGGAGCTGCCCCAGGTGGGAGAGCCCCTGGGTTGGCAACCTATGACCAGCAGGCTGGCTGCCTGCTTTTGTAAAGACATATTTACTGGGACGAAGCCACACCCTCTCTTTTATGTCTTGTCCGTGGCAGAACTGAGTAGCCATGACAGACTGTATGACCCATGAAGCCTAAGAAATTTACTACCTGGCCTTCTACAGAAAATGTTTGCTGATGGCTGGGAAAGATCCTCAGAAAGCTCTCAGAAATGCTCCCAGTAGGGAAAAGAGTCAGACTTCATCCGTTTTGGTGCTCAGAGAGCAAATAACTGTCTTAAAACTGCCCATTGCCCCTTCTTGCTCTCCCTGCATCAACCTGATGGGGTCAGAAATGTCTGTGACAGGCGGAGAAGTGGCCCGGACCCAGCCCTTCCTTCTCATTGCCAGGGGTCAGGCCTTAATGTGTGGGTGTTTGCACGGGAGGATCGGACAGCATGAGATTTTTACTCTGAGTCAAACTTGAAGTTTTGCTTATTACAGAGGCCTGGGCACCATAAATGACTAAATTTGAGAATGTGCTGATGAAAAGTAAATGTATTTTTCATTCAGAGGTAAGGAAGGAACTTCCACCACTGAGCAAATATACAGGGACAGTGGGAGACCAAAAAATAAACTTAGCTTTAAGCTAACACCCCAAGAATCTGGCCTATTTAATCAATTTGCTGGTTGTACATACATGTCTTCAGAGAGGAAAGCCAGACTCTAGATGGAACTCTCCCACTATTTATATGATACAGGGCGTTGCTCATCCTTTCTAGAATTCAGTTTTCTCATCTGCAAAGTAAGGGTTGGACCAGCCCTTGATGAATCCTTCCCATACTGCTAATCTGTGATCCCAGAGCTTGGGGGACATCCTTCGAGATGGATGATGTCTCTTTGGGACTTTTTTTGCAATGGTTCATGTAGCCTGTAGGTAACTGGCATCTAAATGCTGGGAAAATGGTACACAGTGTGTCCCCACCCTCACCTCTAAGATAGTCCTTGAGTGCTTCCTGACTACCTGAGCCTCTCCCATTACGTGGGAGAAGGGTATAGAAGCCTTCGTGTAAGGCCTTATGTTTATCTGGCCAGGAGTTAGGCCATGTTTGCTATTTGCTATAGCTGTGGTGTCTGAGGCTAAAATTCCCTTAAGTGTCCTTGCTTTTGTTCCCCTTGTTGTCTTTCAGTTTTCCTAAAAACTCTTAAATAGGGTCTGAGGCTTGCAGTCCTTTAGCAGTATTCCCCTGTCACAATACAGGAGCCCTGCTGGTGTGGTGGTGAGGTGTGGGGGCAGGGGAGGCATTTTTAATACTGTGATTAGGTCTCAGTCTGTCAGTGAGGGAGCTTGACTGGGTGAGGCTGGTGGGTAAGGTTTTGATAAAATAGTTTCCCTTTGTGCAGTCTTTGTTAAGGAGAACAAAATGCTCTGGGTATATTTCAAAATACCCTGCCAGACACACAGGGGATTTTTCTTCAATCTTCACAGGAGAACCTGGCAGAGCTCCTGGAGGTCAAATTCATGAAAGTGTGTGGGGCCCAGTCTTAGGGGGTGTTTCTAACTTTCAAAGTAAACTGTGACTCTCTCTACCCACCTGTCTGTCTCTCCAGTGTTAGGGGCAGCTGTTGGCTTAGGACCTCAATTCTCTGATGGATCTAAGAAGAGCTGTTGATCTTTACTTTGCTCAGCTTTTTTTCTTGTAAAGACAGGAGTGATGAGTTGCAAGCTCTTCCCACGTCTGACCAGAAACTAGAAGTCTTCTCACTAATATAGGAAAATTATAGGAAATTATGGAGAGTCTACAGTTTTTGTCCAACAAAATGGCCATTTCATAGGCTCAACCACACTCAAGCAGATGAAGAAAATTCATAGAGTGTAGGGAGATTGACAAATGTGAGATTCAGAGTGTGTTGTTAAGGGTCCCCCTGAAATTGTTTTAAATATCTATTATGATGTTGTGGGTTACAATTCCGTTTGGGAAATTCAGTTATGTAAATCTCTAAAGCAATTTTCTGAGTACTGTTTCATAGGGAATTCTTTCTCCAAGTCCTTCAAGCAATACCTGACACATATTTTATTTTAAAATTATAATCACTTTTAGCACTTTATACTTTACACAGATTTTTACATACATTTTCTCAAAGGTGGGTAGAATCTCCAAGGTGGGTATCTTTGTCTCAAGAACTTCAAAACTTCCTTGTGGCTCTAGGGCCAGGAGAGTACTGCTCTTCTCTGATGGAAACTTGTGGAGGACAAGAATTTGCAAACCTAAATTCATGGACACCAGAAATGTAACCATTTCCTTAACTTAAAGTAATTTCGATTTGGGATTCCCATTCTGAGGGGAGCAGCAGAAAATTCTGTTTTCATGGTTACCAATGTCCCTCTCTCCTCTCTAAGATGCCAAGAGCCCAGAAGGCCTGAATGGTACTCAAAAGGGAGAAGGACCCACCTGTGTTTTGAGCCCATCCTGGCTGCCCTGATCGCACAATTCTTCAAGCCTGTGACCCGCAGACAGGAGCTCACTCTCAGCTCAAGCAGAGCTTCTTGTTGCTTTCCCATGAAGCACAGGTATCTCATTCTACCACATGGATTCCCCCAGAGGGACTGCCAAAGTGAATGTGTGGGTCTCCAATACATCTGTACTTTATGATCTCACTACAGAAAGAGAAGGAAGAAAGGAAGGTAGGAAGGAAGGAAGAAAGAAAACAACAGAAAGAGTTTCTTCCCTCCCCGGAACACAGAATACATCGAATCCAGTGAGTTCCAACTTTTGTAAAAGGCCAGTGGAGATGTTGCCCTCCATTAGCTTCCGCTTTCTGCCCTCCATTAGCTTCCACTTTCTGCCCTGCCAGAAGTCCCTACAGCAAGGGCCAGTGTCCAGGAGCTATGAACACTAGAGGGAAAGGGGAAGAAGAAACACATTTTAATCTTTCAGTGAATTATCCTGCCATGCATCCATCAGTTAAAAAACCAAAACCTTACCTACAATAATTTCTTAATTTGATTCGAGGCAGTTTAACTCCTGAAAATGCTTTCTTTCATTTCCTAGATTTGCATATTAATGACAGAAGGCATGTGATGGAATAACACAACACAAATGAGTCTGCGGGGTGACACCAAGTAACACTCAGAGAAAGATCAGTTTCCTCTGAGCAAAATCATCCAAGGACAAGCACATTCCAACAATGTGGATTCAAGAAAGTGGGAAGAATGTAGTATATATTGCCTTGACATTAACACAGAGCTGCACACGTAGAGTTTTAATAAGTAGGTGACACAATTAGTTTGATAAAAAGAAGACTGTGAGGTAGCTTCTGACGGAAAGATAGAATGCCGAGAACAAAGAAGAAGGAAATGGTGTAAGGAATGAAGAGGAAGGAAGGAAGCCTGACATGTAACTCAAACAATTACTGTATTAAAGAAATTATTGATATTATGCTTTGTCATTGCGTGTTTGTTTATATAAGTTGAAAAATGTTTCCTTAGTCAAGAGAGTTGCATGCCTAGATGGAGGATACTTCTCCTTACTTAAAGCATACTTCAAATACCTGGAGTGTCATTTCAAAGTTATGTAATACCTATCACAATCCGTTTTTAATGGTCAATATCCCAGTGTCCTCTAAGACATAGGGATGTCTATGTTTTTAGGTTACTGACATGTACCTACCTTTTCTTTTTGTGCCTTCATTTCTGTATTTGGCAGGCATTTGTTAATATAATTATTAAATTATTCAGTAGCCCAGAAATTCACTGAAGCATGTGATTCTCATTTTATATTTTCACTGGAGAACAGCCTCTGAATTCTTGCCACTGGATATGACAAAAATCCAGGCAAAGCAAAAGTCTATCTTAGAATGCTTTCAAGGTATCAGGAGATGGTAGAAGAGGGGTATGAGGATGAGGCAATTCACTTAAACACTGAAATCATTTAAGCAGGAGAGTAAGGTCCTGTGAAGTGTTAGATTTTCTTGAGCAAGCCAATAAGTGCACACACACACACACATGCTCACAGAAGACCAGTTCCATTTCTAGAAATAAGGCAGACAAGATATTCAGATAAATCTCTTTAAGTATAACTCATCTAAAAATCCTAGAGGTATATTTATATAAACATATGGGTATAGGTAGATAGATGATAGATGATAGATAGATAGATAGATAGATAGATAGATAGATAGATAGATATAGATGGATAGATATCACGTGACTTAGCTGGTGGAAGTAAGGAAATTCTCTAGTGTCCAGAAATGACAAGAAATCTTGAATCCACGGGTCATGCACTGACTTGGAGTTTTCTCTGGAGGTATCTTGGTGGCCTGGTGACAGAGAGCCTGAAATTTAACAGTCCACACGTGGGGATTAGGTGACAAAGCCTAGAGCCTGAATATTGCAAGAGATCACGTATGAGACCCCCTTCATAAAACTGTACCTCCATGAATGGCATGCTCAATTTGAACCGAGAACTTGCTTTGGAGAGTAAGATAGTGAGCAGACCTACCTAAATATTGGTCTTCATGCAATATGACTAGAGGAAGGTAGGAAAAAACTCTTTGTGAAAATTTCTAACCTCAAGACCATACTAATAAGTACTTAAAGCCGGAATTTCTACCCTCTGTGTGGTCTGAAAACCCGTTAGTTTACATTTAACATGGTCCTGAGCTGGTAGGACCCTTAAGGAAAAAGTATTCCCAGACCACTGGAAGAACATTCACCCTCTAAAACCAGACCTCCCTCCCACAGATGAGGAAGGAGGATGCAGGCTGTTACAAGGAAGATTCAGCAGAAACAGGAAGCTGTAGAGTCAGATATGCAAAAATGATTGGAATTGTTGAAAAATATAAAATAAATATGTTTAGTATGCTTAAAGGAGAAAAAGGCAAATTGAAAGAATGACAGTGTAATAAGAGATTATGAAAATGGACCAGATTGATGTGAAAAAGAACCAAATGAATACATTAAGATGAAAACCTGGAAACTGGAAACTTAATGGCTGGATACATAGTCGATTATGGGGAAATAGAGCTGGTGACATTTCCCAGATGACAGCAGAGACAAACATGGAAATGGAAAACCTGAGCGACTAGGGGATGTGGACAGTGGAGCAAAATCGGCCAATGTTAAAATACATCTAATGCTTCCAGAGAGAGGAGGAAAGAAGAATTTGGAAAGATAGTAATTGGGAATTTCTAGGACTGATGGGAAAGCCATGTCTTAGGATCTGGAAACCCAACCAATCCCAAGCAGAGTATATAAAAAGAAATTCAACACTAAGATATATAATAAAATTGCAGAACACTACAGGTAAAGAAAGACTATCTTAAAAGTAGCCAGAGGGAAAGGATAGGTTGCCCATTAATTGGCTAACTACATAAATTATCATACAAACCAGGATACTTTTGAAAAGGAAGGGGGATGCTAACCAAACAGGAGACCAGGGCAACAGGCATATCTGGGTCTACAACAGGTGGAGGAAAGTACCGGATCACCAAATCTATTAAAGAATAATAATTTAATTGACAGCAAGGACAAGGAGAGTCAGGAAGACATTGGATAACATCTTCAAAGTGCTGAAAAAAGTATTCAATTAGAATTACATATCAGTAAAATCTCTTTTAATAATAAGGGTCGGGGGGCGCCTGGGTGACTCAGTTGGTTAAGCATCTACCTTTGGCTCAGGTCATGATCCCAGGGTCCTGGGATTGAGCCCCTCGTTGGGCTCTCTGCTCAGTGGGGAGTCTCCTTGTCCCTCTCCTTCTGCCCCTCCACCCTCCTCGTACGCTCTCTCTCTCTTAAATAAATAAAATCTTTAAAAAATAATAAAAGTCAAAAAAAGACATGTTTAGATAAGCAAAAACAGAAAAGTCACAATCAACAGACCCTCTCGAAAATAAATTCCTTGTAAGAGAAGGAAAATGAGCCCAGAAAGAGTCTGAGACACAAAAAAGCCAACAAAGAACATTGAAATTAATATTGACTGATGAGGTAATAATAATAATGCCTACTAAAAAACAGAAACAAAGTGTTACTTAGAAAATACTAGAAAGACGATATTAAGGTATGGAACAAAAACGTAATCCAAAGGAGGTTAAGAAAAGCATAAAAGGAAGATAAACCTAGAAGGGTCAGGGTGGCGGGGGAGAACAATTAGAAAGTACAAAATAATAGGCACATTAATTATAAGTGGACTAATATCTCCAGTCCAAAGATAAAGATAGACCAGATTTTTTTTAGAAATCCAGCTACAGGGATGCCTGGGTGGCTCAGTCGGTTAAATGTCTGGCTATTGATTTCAGCTCAGGTCATGATCTCAGGGTCATGAGATCGAGCCTTATGTCAAGCTCCATGCTTAGCAGGAGTCTCCTTAAGATTCTCTCTCTCCCTCTGCCCCTCCCCCTGCTTGTGAGCTCTCTCTCTCAAATACATAATCTTTTTTTTTTTTTTTAAGACAGAAATATAGCTACATTCTGTTTACAAGAAACAACACTTCAGAGCACAGTAAGGTTGAATAAAAAAGATAGGGAAAGGTAATATGAGGCAAATTCTACAACGACAAAAGTAGGATGGCCATTTTATCTTAGATGAAAGAAACCTTAAAGCAAAAAGCATTAATGACAACGAAGAAGATCACTACATATTGATAAAAATTTCAACTCACCATGAAATTACAGCAATTCTAAATTTGTATAGATTCAATAAAATAGCCTCAAAATATATAAAGCAAAATTTGGAAGAATTACAAGAAGAAATTTACAGATCAAGCAGGCAAGAAAATGTAAGCTTGATCAAAAGGTCATTATATCTAAAAACCGTATTTGGGGCCATAAAGCCACTATCAACAAATAATTTTTAAAATCTTCTTCATATGGGGCACCTGGGTGGCTCAGTCGGTTAGGTGTCCGACTCTTGGTTTCAGCTCAAGTCGTGATCTCCGGGTGGTGAGATCGAGCCCCATCCCAGGCTCTGTGCTCAGTGCAGAGTCTGCTTGAGATTCTGCCTCCCTCTCCCTCTACCCCTCCTGCTCATGCTCACTCTCTTTCTCTCTCTAAAATAAATAAATCTTAAAAAAAATAAAATCTTCATATAGATAACAATCTCTGACCACAGCACTATTAAATTAGACACCAATACCAAAAAGGTACTGCTCCCTCACTGCATCCCTCAAAGAACCTGATTTGGGGAAATAAGAATAAATAATCAGCGGGTCAAAAGAAGTCTCGACTTTCTAGAAAATAGAATTACAAAGAAAGGTAAATGCTACATATCATTGCAGTTAAAGCTATACTTAGGAAAAGAAAAAAAGCCTTAAATGCTTACATTTTCAAAAAGAAGGAAATATATGAGCTCAGATCCAGTTTAAGAAGGTAGGGGAGTGCCAGAAAAAAAGTCAAATAATGCAGAAGAAAAGAAACACTATCCCTTTTCTGTTACTTTACAGTTTTCACTTAACGTTGTTGTTCCTCATTTTCGTTTCTTACTTTTATTGGTTTGATCATAGGGCTATGCATTCCATTTTCATCTTGTTAATTTAGAAGTTTTACCATCATGTACCATTAATGACCTGGATTTTCCCCCTCTCTAGAAAGCAGACTGAGTGCGTCTATTGCCCTATTATTTCAAAGCTATTTCTCCCACCGAGACCCACTCTTTCCCTACTGATTTCCTCTTTCTGACTTCATCACATTTTGCTCACAGTCTAGGAACGAAATATTTAGAATTCTTTCATTTTTCCCTTTTCTCCTCCTTCCAGGCATCTCTCGCCCCCTAATTAAACCCTGGAATGTTTTCACTTCCTCTTGCACTCTTAATGCTGAGGCTTTGCTGAAATAGTTGGACATAGAACTTTACTTAACAATTGTTTGTGTGTTTGTTTGTCTTTGGGGTCCACGTGCAGGATTTACATTACACATTATGTTCTTATCCATTAATATTTAATGATATATTTCTAAAACCAATGCATTATTCATCTCTGATTGTTTCCTACTTTCCCTTTCCTCATCTTGAAGTCTCTGTTCTGGTTCATTGGCTTCTGGAAAGGGCTTTTTCTTAAGTATTTACCTCAGATGGGCGCATTCTGTGATTTATTCTCTGAATTAGTGCATGTCCTTGAATATCTTCCACTCACCTTAACAGGTAAACAACCGCAAAAGCCTAGTATGGGATTCTGGGGGGTTCTTTCAATCTCTTCTAGCTTCCAGTGTTGCAGATAAGAAGTTCAGTAACAGTCAAAAAAGGAAAAGCCTAGAAACTTGTTTTACCCCGATATCCCTAAGCATGTGTTTGTTTCATCAATCTAACCAAAAACTCTGAATGTTTTTTACTCTGCAAACTTGTCTTTCTTTGGCTTAGGAAAATTTTCTCCTAAGTGATTTAAAATTAATTTATTCTTCCTCATATATTCTTTCTTCTTTTAGAATGTCTGTTATTCAAACAGTTGGTATCCTGCATCCATTTCCCAAATTCTCTCCTTGTAACCTTGTGATTTCCAGCTCCGTGGCATGTTTTACTCTG